CAGCACAACAACCGCGGCAAAGCCCTACTTAGCTGGGGTGACAGCTTCTTCCGCGGCACTACCGCTGTGCCCTGCCCGCTGGGCTGTATTATTGCAGATGGCGATGTCGATAAACAAACAAATTGTTTGGCGGAGAGGGGAGGGGAGGGAAAAATGGGATGCAAGTGCAAATCGGGATGGGCCCAGTCGCGCGGCAGTTAGCGCACTTGCGCCGTGAATCCCGCCAAAGCAGAGTTCGATTTCCCCGGCGCACGGATCATCGGTGGCGAAATGATATCCAAATCAATCGTGGCCGAGACGCAGTTATTGAGAACGGAGACAAGGAAAATGGGAGTGGGTAGAGAGGGGCACCGTTGCCGGACAGGATAATGACCGACGGATGAAACCGGTGGTGGAATGGCAGCTGAAGGTGGAGGAAAAGCATCTGAGGGGAGCACGCCGGCGGAGATGGCGTGGCAGAATCAGGTCGTGTGCAGGGGCGGAGATGGATGGTGAGGGGGATGCCAATGGCGTGGAGGAAGCCTTCGTCACAGAAGTGGACAATGCCGACGATATCCTGTATGTTGTTTAAAACATGAGATGAGGCTCAAAAGAAAGCTGTCTCTGGTGTGGACCAATTAGTTTCAAGGACAATGCATATATTATCAGCGTGTTTTTTGTTTGCATTTTGACCACAAGCATTGTGGTTAATGCAGACGTGATTCCTTGTAAGGTTTCAGTTTTGTTGGCAGAAAATAGGGGAAAACCCCTATTCTTATATGTTGGTACTGGCAAAGGAGGTCTAATGATGAAATACTCATTAAGGATAGCGGTGGAGAAGGTTAACTATTAAATAAATCATGCCTCCTTCCCGAATGTCTCTCCACATAACAAAAAATATATATTTTTTACATAAACCACAACCTTCTGGGAGTGAATCTCATCCACAGCACTGGTTCATCACAAGCAGCATCCATGTGATGAAGAATGAACCGATGCTTATAGGCAGGGATACCTTTAGTACGAAATGCATCTGAGTTTGACACAAAATCTCAATGCTGCATTACATGCAACGATGTAATACAACTTGTTGTCTGTAATCGGTTCACGTGACCCCTGCAGCCATGAGCGGCCATAGCAATTCACCACAACGTTACAACAACCAAAAACAGCGCACGCTTGTATCAAATCGTGACCTTGCGTCACGACAATTCATCAAATCACCATTGGAGGGATGGGGGATAGGGGAGGGGGCATTGTAAATCATTAGACCAACACGAAAGCCATCAGCCAAACCAAACCTTGCCCTGCCTGAACACTAAAGCTGTACGGTTGTGGGTCTATGGGTAAAAAAAAAACACAAGTATCCATTTGTGTGTTTTTCGCCAAAGAATGTTTGTTTATTTTTGCCAAGGGTCTTTTCAGCCGAGGGTGCTGGGCCGAGGCTGCTGCCGCTGTTTATTGCCGGATAATGAAGTCTTGTTACCATTCGCTTTGCTCTCCTCAGGTTTTACAGACTGCCTGCCATAAACAAACAAGCGTGTGCGAGCGTGTGCGCGCCTGCTCGCACACGCGCCTGCACGCACACATTTGCACACGCTCGCACAAAAGACAATGGTCCCCATTTTGAAACTTGTTTAGACTACCGGGGCAAATTGCCGGATAGTGAGGGGGGGCGGCAAGGGGTGTGGCCGCAGGACCATTCACATAAGCCCAGCCGTCTTTGTCTCTCCTCCCCCCCTCCGTGCGATGGTGTTGACGGCGCACTCACTTTCGGCTGCGTTGACCTAAGTGGGGAGGGATGTCTCGGACCGGTTCAGATATCACTTGGCACTCGTGTGACGCCTTTCGTCTCCACAGTGCTGATGTTTACACACCACACCAGGTGCTCATTTGAGGCTAAGTCGCCCTAGGAGAGGCCCAGTGTCAGTTCTGACACCGCTTGTCATTGATGTTAGCTGTGAGCCCGGGATCAAGCTTGGGTCGCTGGGTTCATAAGCGGTGTGTGAACCGCTGCCCCAGCAGGCAACGAACACCAAACAGGTGAAATTCTAATTAGAATGTTCCAATTGGCCACGATGTGGGACCAAGATCCAGGTATGACAAGGCAGGATAAAAATGAGGGGAAAAAAATAATACAACAAATAATCCTACGTGCAGTTCAGTCCCTCTCCCGTGGTTACAGGGCCAGTGACAAAGGAATGAATACAATAAAAAGACCGGCCCTTGTAAGAGTTTAAGTGAACAGAAGTGGAGTCCGTCCATCCCTCGGAGGAGTTGGGATATTGGGATGGCAAACCATTCTCCCGCTTTCTCTTTCTCTCGCTCTGTGCGTAGAGCCAAGCGCAGCAGCCGTGCGTCCACACCAACGAGATGCGACGCTGGTACGTCCTCGTTACGAGCACGCAAAACGTCACACACATGACGGGTCGGTGGGACAATAATGGCTGGCGGAGGCGGCGGTGTTTTTGCTCGCGCATTACCCAACGTTAAAAACACACGGGTGATATAGACGAGCGGGAGAGGGCGGCTGAACGTATTAAGTGTACGAATGTGGGAATGCAATCTTTTTAACAAAATGTCTGTCATCCCCCCCCCCCCTCTCTTCCCCTGGGCTAAACAATTAACCTTTTACACCGTAAACTAGCTCCTGTTCAAGTAAGAAAAGCCGACCCAGAAGGTGCCATCCCCCTGATATGCTGACGTTGCCGTGTATGTACGTGCGCCTTCTGACGTGATCGTTGAAGTTGGTTCGATAACAAAAAATGCGCGTGCAGACGCATAGATCAGAAAGAAGCACTCGCGGATATTGGGGGCACACGTAAACAAACGTCACCAACGTGAATTACAGTATCTGTTCTTCTTATCACTCACACACCTTATATCGATCCTCGCAAAACTCAGATTATCCTTGCACCAATTCGTCCTTCTATCTAAACTAAACTATAAACTAAACTACGTTTGTATTTTACCAGATAAGGGCCCACAGAGCTGTATAGCTCTTTTTCAGAAGCGACCTGGCCACAAATGATAGCTCAACAAAAGTGGCTTATCATGTGGAAATGTATAGCAGCCAGATGCTCTGAAAGCATTGTCTTTAAATGTGCAGGGGAAAATCTACACGACAACGGGGAGAAAGTGCAAACTCCAAATATACAGCAGGCGTCGGGGTTGGAATTGGACACAAGACCTCCTGCATACCAGCCGAGGTAGTTCACATCTTGCCATAGTGGCACTTATCTGAGCCTTCATAGGGGGAAAAGAGAAATGACACGGAAGTGGAATAAAATGTATCCCGTCGTCCGTGTTTACGCGTGCGGATATAAGGAGCGGCTTTGCGCGGATATGCTAACATTGAGGGTTGTCGCCCCCAGCGTTCTCCGCACATCAAATCAAAACATCAAATCAGAGCGGAGGATTTCGCTAAAAACGCACTCGTGGGCGACTAAATGAATGAACAATCCAAGTGAATGGCCAATATTACGCAATGCAAGCATGAATGCATAAAGAAGACGAAGGTGTGAATAAACAATCGCGCTCAGCCACACCACCAGTACAGTGCCGACATTCTGTTTGCTCAATGGAACAGTTGCTGCTTGTCCTCGGCCTCCCTTGCCTCTGGAACTCGCTTCCAATTTGTTGTCTGCCGACTTTGTGTCCTGTTCTACTTCGTGCTCACGATCTTCCTCTTCACTGCCCCGGACTGGAATTCGGATGGAGTTTGGAGGAAGATGGAGGAGGATGGGCCATCTACCTCCTCCAAACTCCATTCATGACAAACACGAAGACGTCTCCTCCCTGTCGCATATCTACCCGAGCCAGTCAACCCCCACCCACCACCACCGCAGTGACAATTCCTGTGCGTCCTCTAGAAAAGGATGCTGGCGTTAAAACATTTCAAACATTTCATGCTGCATTGGAGCTCTAAATCGGTAAAAGTAAAGGTGCAGCCCTAAAATGACCTCACGCCACGGCTGGCGAAGGCAGCCCCCAATAGTAGGGGGCCAGCTCCAGACAGCCACGCTACAGAATGTGTGGCTCCTGCTCTTCCGTGTTGGCCACATGGTCTTGAATGAGATGAGAGTTGCCGTGCGTTATGCCCCCCCACCATGCATGTGCGAAATGCAAGTACATTATGCATGTTGATTAAATGTAAATAACCCAACCAACAATAGATAACCATTGTAATTTATATTAATACATTAGCCCCTTCCTCTGGTATTTGTACCTAATTGGCTCAGAGCTGATGACATCACGTGCATCCCTCGATCAAAGAACGAAACAGGATTTCTCCACAATTGTGGCGGTCGCCTGACGATGCTGGTTGTAATTGCCGGTGTGCCAAACTAGTAACTAATTGGCATGTTTTGTTTACGTGACAACCCTTACTAATTGGCTTGGTCTGGTGGTGGCGGGTTGAACAACACATTAATATTTACGCGATCTAACCGACAAAATAAACTTCTATTGTGGATAATATTGGCCGCGAAAAGCCTACGTGTGAAACCGATGTTCAACTTCTTTCACACCGTACGTGGCCAACCGTGCCAAATCGCAGGTGCGGGACCTGCCGACGATCAACTGGCTGAGGTGAACAGAGGCGCTGGGCCGGGGTGGGGCCGGCGGATGAAAGAAACTCGCCCCGTGGCTTCGACTGCCGCGCCGGGAGATCGTAGCTCTGTCTCGCGAGTTCAACGTGCTCGCAATTGCGCGTAGATTGTTGTTTGGGGGCGTGAGGGGGGGGTAGTCAATGAATTTAGATATAAAAACGTCACGCGCTTGACGCGACAGCTGCCTCGGAAAAAATAAAAACCGGTTGATGTCAGCAGAACGCCGCCCACGAATAAAGCTCGGGGACCCAGCACCGCCCCCCCCCCGACAATTTGGGACGCGTTCCCAGCGGTAGCAGCAGCAGCAGTGGCGGCAACAACAACAAAACCACCACGTGAACTACTGCCGCGGGAGGAGGGAGACACACGGGGGGGGGGGGTGGAGATGAGCCGCCGCCTTCGCGCTAATACCTGTCGTATCGCTCCCCCGCAGGAACAGTGGGACTGACAAGGCCGCGATAAGAGGCCGAGCCGCAGCGCGTGACTTGGGGCTCCGGCTGAAACACAGTAAATCAATTCGAGTCGCATTACAGCCGTGTCGGGGAGCATTTTTCTACACGGCTGCATATGAGAAAGATGCAAAAACAAAAAAGAGCAGCGACAACGACGACACACGTGCGTGCGTGCGCACGCGCGCACATAAACCCGCTGACGACGACGTTGTATAACAGAGCGTTTGGTTGTTTGTGTATTTGTTAAATTGGAGTGGAGCGACAGTAGCAGTGGGGTTGGCATGCCACACTACGAGCCCGCTGACCCGAGTTCAAATTCTGGCCGCGGCTAACACCACTGGCGATTAATTTCAGAACTGGTACTGCTCTCCCCTTCCTTCAACAATCTGCACTGCCCAGCGTGGTGAAGTATGGTCAAAAGATCCCTACGACCAACTCGGCATTGGGATTACTTCATATATTGGAAGTTTGAAAAAGGCTAGACTTTTCCATGTTTTTTTTTATGATTATATAAATAGGTCAGGACACGCGCAATTAGATGTGCTTTTAATTTGTAAAAAAAAAAAAAGACAATGATGTTAGAGAGTGACAATACTAAAACTGAGACCCACGTGTGTAAATATATAGGCTTCAAAAATGGTTGTTATTTTCACATCTGGAATATTTTACGAAAATGTCTGCCGGCTCACAACTCAATCCTCGGTGGTAGAGAATGCAATTGGACAGAATGACAGTATTCCATGTAATTGTGGTATCATTATTTGTGAGGCTTTGGACCAAAATTTGCTTACCCTTTATTTCTGACAGCAGATTTTAGACTACAAGGATTTATTTGCAGACCATAACAAGACAAAGATCCCCCGTATAGCCTGAACAGACTTTTGGGGCAAGTGCTGTTCACGAGCACCTATGAAGGCCGGCACGGCACACACGAGGGTGTGGGTGGCCGTCTCCACACCCGACCTCGAGGAGGCCCAGAACCGGTTCAGATAATCGTCACTGGTGTCTGATGTTGGTGGCCATGAGCCAAGATCGAACTCGGGTCGCCGGGTTCACAGGGCAGTATGCCAACCGGTGCACTACCGCTCTCCACACACACGCACATGCACGTCATCAGTCTGGACCACGCGCACTCATCAACGAACGAGGCAATCCTGCAAATGCATTTAAAAAAACATACCAAACATGGATTAATTATACGTACAAACGTAAAAGGCCAAGGTGCAGCCCTGCAATTGCTAGCTCCAAGCCACTGCCGGATGAAGAACCCCAACAAGAAGGCGCTGCAGAGGCAGCCCCTCCAAAGAGTATTTCACTTACTCTGATAACGCCAAGCAAGCATCTTGTAAGCGGTGGGAGTTACCCACAATTCACCCCACCGCCTTGCGACCTGCCGATGAGAATCGCCGTGGTGTGCCTGTGTGCGCTGCTGGGTGGACAGAGGCTGCTCGCGCCGTGGTGTAAACTGACGCGCTGGGAGATTGCGTTGAACCGGCGACCTCTAGATCGCGAGTCCAGTTGTGGTGACCATTACGCGATGGCTGCGTGCCAAGACAGCAGCCGATGACCTATTGTTTCATGAGCAATGTTTTAATGTCAGCGAACAAAAACAACGACGAAAAAACTCAAAATCTTCGTCAATAACACTGCCCTATAAGGAAATACTGGACTGTATATATAATAGGGGACATCTGGGGCAACGAACGGTCTCTCGTTCATACAGAGAGATCAACCTCTCTGTTATTCGTGCATGTGCACTGCTGCCACTGCAGAACCGTCAAACAACCCCTTTTATTAATCAGCTGCAATATCGGGTAGTGCAACCACTCCTCTGTAAATAATCCGTCGGGCGAGCTCGGCATTGAAAACTCTGGTGTCGTTAAACCGCTAACAACCCGCGGCAGAGTCCTCCGCGAGACGCACACCGCGCCAAGCCGAACGGCGCACACGATCGGTTTGCAGAGGCGACGGTTTTCACATTCCGTCTCTCTCACTCAAGCGTGGTAATAATTCGTCTGACGCCTGCGAGCAGAGTGCCACCAAATTCCCCAGTCCTCCCCGACAGCCACCGGCGGGCCCCTCCGAGCGCCCCCACCGACCCCAGTAAACCCAGCAGCACTCTCTGTGCTGCAGCGATGACTAATGCATCACACTCATTAGCCCGTGCACGGGATAAATCTTTCAACGTTCGCGAGTAACTGTCACAATGCATCGTGTAGCAAAGCCGCGCTGTGCCCCATTGTACATCTGCCGAGTTGGTTGTTTAGGGCGGGAGTGGAGGCGGGGCTAGAGGGGAAATTTGGCGTCGTTTTCCAAGTCGCGGTGTGGATTGGACGCCGCATAAGTGATTTGAGCAATTTTCCGCAATTCAAGGTCACGATTCGGTCAAATTAATAATGATATCTTTTCGTTTTCAAGATATTCTGTGAATGTTCGGAGCATCTAGTGGTCGGAGATGCTCATGCAAACCCATTACGCACAACGTATATGTATTTTTTTAAAAAGTGAATACTTATGAGCAATTTGATGCATGTATTTGGATCGTAAAAATCGACATTGTATTGGGATCGATTAATCCATTAATCACTCCACCACGACAACCTCGGGCGGTGCTGTGGCTCAGGGTGAGTGAGTTCGCTGCTCGTTGCAGAGGTTCGCGATTCGAATCTCGCGGACACCCTGATTTTTATTTTATTTTACCAGGTAAAGGCCCTAACTCTTTTTCGGAAGCGACCTGGCCATCACAAATGATAACTCAACAAAGTGGCTTATCACGTGGGAATGTACAGCAGCCAAAATAGTCTAAATGGAAACCGATTCTAAATGGGGAGGAAAAAACCGAAGGACCCGGAGAAGAATCCACGCGACCACGGGGAGAATACGCAAACTCCAAATATACAGGCATCAGGGTTGAGATCAAACCCGCGACCTCCTGTATACCAAGCGAGATAGTTAACATCTTGCCACCGCGGCGCCCTCATGAGAACTGGGGGTGTAACAACCGCGACGATGCCACGGACCCGTCTGCTTCACAGTGGACCTCGTAGATCCCGTGACGTCATTCGCAAGTGTAGCCCGTCGTGTGCTGGTGTCGGGGGTCCAAATTTGCCAAATTCGAAGTACACCCGCAAGCAACTCGACTGGGATCTAGTGATAGGTTTTTACCCTTTCAACTGGTACAAAAAACTGACACCTTTATACAAAGCATCATGTTTGCAATAACCACAACACAAGTAGTAAAAAATGCAAACAAAAAGAAACAACTCTGATGATGATAATGATATGCACTGTCCTTGAAGTTGATTGGTCCACACCCGAGACGGCTTTTCTTAGAGCCTAGTCTCCATTGGTGTTGGCTTACCCCTCGACTGGGATCATTATAGACAAAGCAATCGTCGTCTCCTGCCTGCAGACCACCTGCTGAGGCTCAGTGAGGCTTTTCTGGGTAAACATGCGGAATCATCATAATAATAATGAGCTTCACATCAAGCCGGGGATCAGTTTCGGATGGCAATGGAGACCCACCCCTTGATCAGCTATGAACTCTGCTCCAAATCTAAATGGCACAAAAACTGGATGGTACAAAATCCAAATGGCACGAAAACTAGATGGCGCGCCTTACGCACTTTAGAAGTAATGGTTCGCCAATTATCACTCATCCGATACGAGTGATAATTGGCGTTTTTGTCTCCATCGAGGATGGGCTGGGCAAAAAATTTAATTTAAAAACTAATTTACGTAACGAGTTTCCGCGCAGAGCATTGGTGACCGCGGTTTAATCGCACGGTGATCGCCAAGATTTATTTCCAGGGTTTGGTGCTTTCAAACAAACGTGACGTAACGTTTACATTTTATATTGCTCTTTCGCATACAAAGCATAAAATCTGGAAATTGTTTAATCAAGACGGCAATCGACTCGCCGTAAATCTTTTAATTCCGCCAAAAATTACGATAGCAAAAAAAAATTCAATCCCAAGTGAAGGTCAAGTCAGTTGGCGATTCATCGTGAACGTCTCAAAAGACCTTCGCTCTATTTTCCGAAAACCCAATTCGGTCAAAAGCCCTTTTAACGTTTCACTTGTGCGGAATGCCAACGCATTTGCTTTACTTTTTTTTCTTACACGGTATAATACTTTGGTGTGTACATGCATGGTTCTTATTTCATGCCCTTTCTTGCATTTCCACCCTCGTTTTCCATCACCAGGTGCCTGTCTGAACAGACCACAACCTGATCAATTAACGGCTACCTCGCGACTTTGGCAATGAACGACGACTCTACACAACGCTCACCGAAAGGGACCCCCGCGTCACGGGCGGGTAAGCGAGATGTTAATTTAAACAAAAACGCGCTTATTAATTGAACTTGACAACTGGTATGTCTTCTCTCTCCCTTTTACGGCTGATAAGTGCCCGTTTGAGCCTCACTCAGAGTGAACGCTCAATCGCTTTGTTTTACAACGACCACTTGTAGGGAGGGGCATTGTGCACTGTGCATGTGTGCGCGTGTACTGTGTGCGCGTGTACTGTGTGCGTGTATGCTCGTACTGTGTGAATGTGGGCGCTTTTGGGGAGCCGCAGCGTAGCGGTTAGCACTATGCTGCACTACAAACCCAACGACCTCGAGTTTGATTCCTGCTCAAGGCCTACACCAGGGACGATTATCTGAACCGGTCCTGGGCCTCCCCTAGGTCGATTCGGCCTCAAAGGAGTACCCGGTGCGATGCGTAAAACATCGCCACTGGGGAGACAAAGGCTGTGGTGTTGGGCACCCTTTTGTGCGCAGTGTCTGCCCTCATAGGTGCTACTCGCAAAGAGCACTTGCCTCAAAAGAGTCTGGTCATGCTATGCGGGGAGGATCTTCGTCTTTTTACGTATCGCGGAGAGCGGTGGCACAATGGTTGGCGCACTCCACAACAAACCCAGTGATCCAACTTCCATTCTCGCTCTCGCCGCCAATGTCGGCGCCAAGTGACGCCTGAACCAATGCTTCACCAACCCCCGCACTGACCGGCGGAACGAAGTATGGTCAAAAACAACAACCCCCC